AGAGAGAGAGAGAGAGAGAGAGAGAGAGAGAGAGAGAGAGAGAGAGAGAGAGAGAGACCTTTGACAGCTTTTAGGAAATACTTCTAAACTTTAGGGAAACTACTTTAATATAATATGTAGATTAATATGGTTATGCTCTCTTCTGATTATCATTATTATTATTAATTTATCAGGGGCTTAGAAAAAAGAATCCTGGCAGGAAGGTAGAAGAGAAAAAAGAGCAATCCCAGGGGTCTTTGCTCACCTTCTTGGAATGTATGCATGTTTACATGCAAACTTTGTATCTTTATACTATGACTGTCCCTCTACCAGATTTGTTACCTGGGTCCTTTAAATATTTTTGAGTCATAATCTTATTTAAGAAAATGCAAAATGAGTTGTGAGGTGGAAAACTTTTAAACTATTTGAGAATCACCAGAGGACTTCTCTAAAGCTGTTTGCAGAAACCTAATACAAGCTTTCTTTTGATTTCACTGAAGCTTCTCATACGGAACAACAACAAAACCCCTCCAGACATGAAAGGAAGTAGGTGGCCAGATATTCTCGTTAGCTCTATTTTGCCTCTATGCACATCACATTAATACTTTTCATTGAATGACATGAAGATGCCATAAAACTGAAAAATTGAGAGAGAGCCCTTTAAATCCAGCAGCTTTTTTTTTTATTAGAGCAACTCCTGAAACTTTAGTGAATCTTCCTTTTTGCTTGAAAACAATTAATCAAATATACAGGTGGTTAAGAGCAGACTGTGGGTTGGTTCAGTGACTTTCCTAATAATATCCGTAAGAGTTAAGCAGGCAAGGCTTTGGCACAATGCCATGACCCCCTTCTCATTCTAGTTTTCCTCTTCCCATACCTAACAAATCACCTCTAATAATTGTATGTTCTTAGAAAAAAAAAAAAAAAAAAGGGAGTGGTAAGCGTAGACTCTGGAAAGGAGATTATAATTTGAATTGAATTTTAATTAGCTGCATTTTTTCTGTACACAGAGCTCTCATTAAGCATGCACTAAGCAGTGGGTGTAAATCTGTGGTCAGTCTATTGCTATATTTTGTCCC